CACACGACTGATATAAGAGGCGGCGCTGTATTGCTGCGAGAGACCTCTGGTGGAGTTTCTGAGCATGCGCATGGCCTGCACGGTGGTGAATGCCTTGGTGGCATAGTAGCGGACATGCTCATGGAAGGTGAGCCCGCGGTCAAAGTAGAAGCCCAAGTACCTCCAATAGGTCTTGGGCTTCAAAGGCGTAACACCGGTATGTGGGGCATACCCCAGATCCAGTGAGGGATTGTAAGCGTCTCGTCGACGCGAAAAGTGGAACAACTCGGTCTTGTCATGTTCAAGAATGAATGCAAAAGCAACAAAGAGAAGGTAGATAACTTTGTAGGCCTTATGCAGGCCCACATTATTATCATCAAGTTGTTTGGACTGGGCCAGAATGGTCCCATTGTCCACCAAGGAGAGCAGCGTTGTGTTGAGCGGCGCTGCTTTGATATAGAAGAGCTTCATTACCGGAGCAATGAAGAGTCCTGAGATAACAGGCAAGAGAGCAGAGCCCTGCCCGACACCCACGTCCACGGACTGCGAGTCAGATTGGAAGGTGCTCCAACAATAAACTGTGGAACGGCCAACTAAGTAAGATGCAAAGAACTCCACCAAAACTGGTGAAAACCCTTGCTTGTGCAGGACAGCCATGAACATTTCATGGTTGATAGAAGGGAAAAACTGCGTCAGTTTGTCGCACTCTTCAAGAGTGGTTTGAGGCAGATGATCTCCGCCGCATTACCTTTGTCTATGTCCCATCCGCTTTGCGGTGGGACATCCATGGTGAGGCACAGAAGTACGTCACCGAATTCAAAGTCAGGGTTGGACGTCGCAGGACAGACAACTCTATAGACGCGCTACGCTCCCGAGCCGTGCACTCAGTCCTGGACTCGTGGAGCTCCACTTTCCAGGATCCAATTTACTGAGGCTCTGAATTCCTAGAGCTTCAACAGCCTGATAGGCGGCCGCTACAGCCATCGTACCTCAATGGGGGACCTCGGCTTTCAACCTTCGGACACAGTATCACTGAGTTCGCCCGCGTTTGCTGGTGTATAACTGGCCACACACCCATTGGAGCGTATTATCGTCGCTTCAAGATCAATGAGCCTCACGGCTGCACTTGCGGGGCTGCTCTGCAGTCTCGCCAGCATATTCTCTTTTGCTGTCGCAATTGCTACTCCGTGCATTACCCCCGCTTTCTTGGGGATATTGTAGCTTTTATGAAGTACAACCCTACAGTGTTTGGCTTCACCCGGGACCCTTCGGGTGTCGGATAATCGCTGTGGGCGGGGTTGTTCCTCCTTTTGGGGGATTTATGGTGAATTGACACCACCGAGCCCTAGGGTTCGAAGACCTGTGCCTACCACTATTTCTTTGCGCTTGCGGCCGCTATTGTAGCAGGTTGCGGCGCCGCTAACTCTCTGTGTCTGGTTTCGGGCAGGCGCTTCTCTGGCTTGTCGGCCGGCCTCAAGACACCCTGCCACCTCCTGGGTGGTGCTCTCTTATTTCATTTGCGCTGCGTGGCCTCCGAACAGCGTCTGACGGCTCTGGGGTTTAGCGGGGCCTCGATGGTCTCTTCCCCTTATCCCACGTCACCATTTTCGCGAGGTGGGTCTGGCTTTATGGGAGTTTAGGTGTTTGAGCCATAAGGCTCGTGGTTGGGGGGGCGGATGTCTTTCAGTAGTTTACTTAGTACCCAGGCCGCATAGTGTATGTGTTTGTAGATAGCGAGCGGGCTGCCATCGAGCACTGCTATATAAATTGTTGATAAAAAAATAAACAAAAAAAAGAAGGGAAAACCTGCACGATGTCAAATGCCAGCGCGCTAGTCTGGAGACCCTTAACCCACCCCGCTCGCACAAGATGAGTCAGAATCAATCCAGCATCCTCAGTTGACCTCTGGTGAATCCTGCCAAGCTGGTTTGGATGAAAGATATCATGTTTGACTGCATCAAACTGTATCCGATTTGCAATCATCTTTTCGATAAGTTTACCAAAAGTGATGAGGAGTACTATAGGCCTGAAGGCCTTTGGGACTGCGTAGGAGGGCTTGTTCAGCTTTGGAACGATGACCGATAGCGACTCCTTGAAAATGCATGGCCAGTGACCCACCCAAAGGCAAGCGTTGGCCAACACAATGAAGAGCACAAGGACGTGTTTGTCCTTGAGCAACTCCTTTAGGTGGACCCATGTAACGTGGTCCGGTCCTGGTGCAGAGGAGTTGGAGCACCCCTTAAGGGCACTCAACAACTCATGCTCCAAAAAGTCAGCCCACTCACGGACCGGCTCATTGGGAAGCTCGTCTAAGACTGAGGCGTCGTACTCATGACCAGAGGCCGAGTTGTACGTGCTGTGCAGGGCGTCCCAGAGGTCGTCCATATCATGGCAAGGCTGATCGCCATTGCGAATAGCCTCACAGGGTGGTAGCTTGCGCTGTTTGACCCATTCCATTAGGTCCCACGGGCGCCAAGTCCCCCCCTCTGTCCTCTTTCTCTCGAACGCCCACTTGTCAACAAGCACAAACAACCAGCTCACCGTCTCGCACATCGTCTAGCGCTTTATCGACAAGCCAGAAGATCCCTTTTGATCGTTCGTACCGCATCAGCAAACCATGTCCGACCTCCCACCGAGAGGTCGGGGCGCGAGGCCCCCCGGGGCGGTTCCTAGGAGCCGTCGTGGGGGGGACTCGGGCTCCGCACCACCAGCTATACCACCATCGGTCGCTGGCTCATCGTCTTTTGGTGGTGATGCCTTGCCAATCTCGCCAGACCCTACCTCGACTAGGGCCACATACTCGACGGTCGTGCCAGCTCGATCTCGCCACACGTCACCCCGCCGCAGGTCCCGTTCCACCACGGGTTCCGCCCATTCGTCCGCAGATGAGTCTGACTCAGGGACGGCCCACCCCCAGGAGATGGAGGTAGAGGGCACTCAGGGAGGGGAGGAGGTCTCGAGGGACCCCTCAGTCGACCTACTCTTAGGTCAATACGCCTTGAAGTTCCGAGACACCGTCGAGGATCTTCCTGGCGATCTCGAGGTATTGACCACATCCATTGCGAAGGCCACAGACTGGGTTCTGCACCACAATCCGCTCACCATCGATGGGGGTGATGCCTTCGTGGCCCAGATGACGTCCTTTGTGAACGCCGTCATGGCCACTGACTTTAGTCGTATTCGCGGACCAGGCGAACTCGACAACTTCTCACTCGCCTCTCTCCTTGAGGCCGAGACGTCTTCTAAGGACGAGCCAACCATCCATCCGGCTCCCGTATTCAGGCCTCCTCCTCCTGCTGCCCGTGGGCCGCTCGACGAGGGTGTCGCTGGCGTAGGGGCCCCGCCCGACGTCCTCATGCAGGCTTTGGACGACCTTGGTCGTCCGGCCTCCCCTCCTCGCATCCCCGCTTCTAAGAAGCGTAAGGGTGTTGATCGTCCGGTCCCACCTCCTCCTCAGAAGAAGAGTAAGGTGGCCTACTCCCGCCCTGGTCCGCCTCCGCCGATCAATT